TGCTCTATCCATCACACCACCTACCTGCCTCAAAAGACAGAGTTTTTGAGGACTGATTACTCAATATAACTTAGTGTTGCATAGAAGCCAGTGGTTTTTTGTGGGTGCAGTCTTAGGTTGCATTTGTACCAGTATGGTTTATAGAAAAGAGAGGTGATAGTCTCATCATACTCTGCCTTGGGCAGACCATGTAAAGTTTCCAGTTTTCATTACCGCATTTAATAAAAGACAGAGACAAGTTGGAGATAATGTCAGGGAGGTTAACTAAGATTGTGAAAGGACCAGAAGCTATGGATCAATTGAAAGTATTGGATTTATCTTGGTGAAAAGGCTGATAGCATGGGGACACGTTTTCTCTCTTCAAATATTTGAAGAGTTATAATGTAGAAGAGGAATTAGTTGTTCTTCTTGACCCCAGAGAATAAATGAAGCCTTTTCTGATCTCCTCAGCTGCTAGTGCCTTTCTTCACAGTTACCTTGTGTCTATTTTAGTTATAACTATTTATGTTCGTGCTGTTTCCTGATAGATTGTAAGCTTCTTAAGGGCAGGCCTATTTCACTTTTGTCTTTGTATTCCTAGTGCCTGGCATATAGTAGGGGTTTAATAAATGCTTATGGATTGATTGTTTGGATTAGCATATGACCAATAAGTAAAGGCTACAGGAAAGCTGATTTTAGCTTTAATGAAGAATGTCCTAATTAGAACTGTTGAAGAAGAGAATGAACTGCCTTAGGAGTTTGTATGTTTACCAAGGCCCATTTTGATTTGCAGTTCTTTGATTCTGAGAGTGAAGGGGGACAGTGAGCATGAGAAGAATAAAGAGCCACCATTCAGACTCTGCAACATTACAATTGGCTTTAGTTTTAAAATCTTAATGAAGGTGTGAAATATGTTCATATACCTTTTTATCTCCCATCTTTTCTTCTGTGTTTATGTGTATTTAAAGCATTGTATTGGACTAGTTTTATGCTTTTTATTGGGCATTGCCTCAGGGCTTAATATTTAGGGATAGGAGTTACATGCTATGTGACTGCATTGGCATAGATAGAACTCTCTTGATGAGGAAATTTATTCCACCAGCTTAAGCCAGTACATTCCCTAAAATTTATAGTCACAGAGAGTAGCCTGGATCACTAAGAGGCTTGGTGATTTTGCACAGGGTCTCACAGCCAATGTGTGTTAGAGATGGGGCTTGAACTCAGGTCTTCCTGGTTTCTAAACCAATTCTTTGTCCACTGTGCTTGGCTGCCTCTGCCTAGTATTTATTCCTGATAAAATCCTTCATAAACCTTTGTGTGTTTTTGTTTTTATGTTTTTCCTGCAGGACTTAGCTTGGTACAATATTTTGTTACCTCCTTCCATTTTCTTCTTTTAAAAAAACTATTTATTTTTAGTTTTCAACATTCACTTCTATAAGATTTTGAGTTCTAAATTTTCTTTCCCTCCCTTCCCTCCCCTCCCCAAGATGGCATGCAATCTGATATAGGCTGTACATATACATTCATATTACACATATTTTCACATTAGTCATGTTGTATAGAAGAATTAAAACCAATGGGAGAAAACATGAGAAAAAAGTAACAACAGAAAAGAAAGCAAATAGTGTGCTTTGATTTGCATTCAGACTCCATAGTTGTATTTCTGGATGTGGATAGCATTTTCCATCATGAGTCTTTTGGAGTTGTCTTAGATTCTTTAGCCTATACAGCCACAATTCATTTAATCTTTTCTCTAGGATTGGTTTTTCTCTTGCTCTTATAATTTTTGTGCTGGTCCTCTAGACTCTAGTTTTGTATATGAATCTTAAAACCAAACCAAACCAAAAAAAAATGTACACCAAGACAGCATATCTAGCAGATGTTGAGTGATGTTAGAGCAGAATACTTATATGTCGTATTCAGGTTTGGTAAGCAGTATCTTTCTGATAGGCCAGGGGCAGGATATTTAATGAACTAGATCAGAAGTTAGGAAACCAAATTCTGACACTTATTGACATTGCCTCAAACAAATTGAGACCTGGGAAAGACCTTCGCTTAAAAAGGCCAAAGTCTCCCACTGCATCTGGGGCCATAGCCAGTCGTCTTGACCTGTGTCTTGCCACTGGACTCTGATGACTCTGGAGGACCCAGTGTGGCTGATGATTCTGCACAGCTCTGCCTTACTTAAATCCAATTCACTTGCAAGTCAAGACATGCTGATATCATTGGTCTTCTTCGAGAACAAGGGTTACAGGATTACACAGGTCTTGGTTTCCTCATCTGTAAAATAAGTGGAGGTGGACTAAATCAGAGATATCAAACAATGTGCTAGCCTTGCAAAGTAAGGCCCAAACCCTATTAAAGTGTAATTGGGAAATATTTAAGAAAACAGAAAAAATACAACAGAATATAGATGATGTTAATATGTGGTTTTATAAGTCAAGATGTGGCAGTAGGGGTTCTTATGTAGGGATTAGTGACACCTGTTTCTATTTGTTTGATACTACTAGGCTAAATGATCTTGAAGGTCGCTTGTAGTGCTAACATTCTTTTCTCTATGTTCATGTATTTCAGGGTGTTCTTCCTAGTGTTATCTATACACTTACTGAACATAGTCTTAGCACTTCAGCCAGTTGACCCACCTGGGGTACAATATGGATAAATGATTGCCATGGATGGTCCCATTTCTCTGCTCACCAGACTAGATATAGGAACAGCATTTACATGGTTCTTTCTCTTTCTCTGTTCTTCTCTGTCTTTTGTCTTTCTTTTAGTCACTGCTTCATTTTCTCTCAACTTTTCTTTTATTTCATCTCTGTTTTTGGTGCTCTCCTACCTGATCCTTTTCTTTTTCCTTTCCCTTAACCTATGCTTTTGGCCTGTCCCTGGTTTAGCCCTGAAAGTCAGCACTCAGGACTAAATAAGTACCTTAACACCTTAACTGTGAGTGTGTTATTGAATGCCATTGAAAGCCATGTAAGTTGAGACAGATTTCCTTTATTGCTTATACTTGTCTATGTGGACTATTACTTTATTACTGAGTGAAATTAAATTGGTCTTACCACGATTTTCTTTTTAGAGCTATTTTGATTATTGTCCTTCTACAGATTGTACTGTTCTAGGTAATTTTTCTAGGGCCTTTTTGTAATATCTACCCAGATATTGAAGTTAAAATGATCATTGACTAATTTCTATTTACCAGTGGCTCCCTTTCTTTATTTAGAACAGTTGTTCTTTGATAATCTTAAGGAACTCCTGTCTTTGTAGAATTCTTTAGAACACAGCTATCTAAATTCCTTTTATTTGGCTTATGGACCATTTGGATTAGTCAGAAGACCCCATGGAGCACCTTTATCATCATGTGTTCCTGAAGGAAAACCTTCAGTAGCACTTCAGTAAACACTTTTTGCCCACTACCCCAAAGTCCAGGACAAAGCAACTGCACATCCTAGACAATGTTTTAAAATTGCACCCCCTAACTGTTACTGTTCATTGTTAAGTTGACATAGCAAAATAAATGCCTTGGTGCCATGGAGAGTAGGATTTTTTTGGGCAGTAAAAATATAAACATTTATAGTAAGTAATGTTAAAGTATTCCTCATCAGGCTCACCCACCCTTGTGTTTGCCTTAGGCTGCTGCTGGTGCTCAGATCATAACAGCTGATGGAAGGAATTAAGTTGCTTTGAGATAACAATAGGATAATGCCTATATTTTATTTGATATTGTTAATTTGTGCTGGAAAGAAAAATTTGTGTTTGTCATATGAGAGATATGAATAATGTAAAATAAGAGCAGCTTTTGTTAATCACTAGAGTTCCCAGGACAATAAAGGAATACTTTGATTAGCTAATGGCCCTACAAGTAGCATTTTAAAATTTAAGTACCAGAAAGGAATGCCATTGGTGTCCCTGTCAAGTTTTTAAAAAAGAAGAAACCTTCTGCTCTTTCCTTCCCCTTGTTATCTCCCCTTACCCTTACCCCCATTTTTCACACTTTTCCACTAAGGCCTTTTGGCAGGATCCAGGAAGAATTACCTTGGGGAAAGGAAGACATGATTATCATTAAAGTAAACCAGAGTTCCTGCCAAGTTTAAGTTGGGCCAAAGATTACCAGAGTACCATAGCCAAAGAGTGAGCTAGGAAATGGAATGTGTAGGAATGGTTTCAAAGCTGGAAAAGGCATTTGAGAGTAAAAGCTCTACAGAAGGGAGAAGGGGTAGTGGAGGGGAGGGAGACCTGTTCTGTTCTCTTGTGGCTTCCCTGCCCTTGATGACATTCTATTATGGTGGAGATAAGCTAGTCATGATCCCATCTTTCACTGAGCTTGCCATGGCATCCAGCAACCTTCCTTAATGTAGTGTGGCATTCCCATCTCTTACCACCAGTGGATCTTTTCCTGCTTGAGCCTGGTTTAACTATTTCACAAAGTCATAAAAGGGAAAACAATACCAATAAATAAATAGCCTTTTTTTTCATTGTCATGTGTAGTGTGATCTTTCTTCCTTCACTTAAGTGGAATATGCATGTGTGCTATATTTTCTTTGATCCTCTTTTGCTTTATGTGACTGAAAAATTTAAATATTTTGCTGTTACCTTCTGCTAAATGTTTATATGAAGTTGGCAAAATTGTAAGGAAACTTCTGTAAAATTCAGCCTACAGCTGTTGATTGCATGTAGTATGGCCTTTGGTTATTGAGGGCTATAAAAATAGAATGAAGCATGATGATTTTGTCATTATCTTAAGGACATTTAAGTTAGCTGTTGTAAACTTCTTACCTCCATTAATGAATTTCATGTATATTACTAGGGATGAAAACTTATTCTGAATTATTGTTAATTCATTTGGTCTGATGATAAAGCATTATTTTAAAAAGATCTGGCCACTAAAATTTGTTAAGAGATTTAAAAATTTCTATCAGATATGATGAAAGCTAATCATATTTGTACCATCAGTTTTTAATAATGATGATGGTAGTAAACAGAAAAAGTATAACATTATTTCTTTTCCTTCCTTTCTACAGGTGCTCTTACCACTAATGGCATAAATGCAGACACCAGTACAGAAATAGGACGTGCCAAGAACTGTCTTAGCCCTGAAGACATCATTGACAAATATAAAGAAGCAATTTCTTATTATAGCAAGGTGATTTCCTGTAATATAAAATTTTTCATTTTATCATACCATTTCAGATAGAAACTTTGACTTGACATGATAGCATGTTCCCTCTTTAAAAAAAGGTCTGTTAGTTTTATTTTTATATCTTTGTATCAGTCCCTTTAATTTATACATTTATACATCTTCAGAACACAGTTTACATTTAGTGTCTTATTTCACACTCACAGCATCTTTGCAGATTAGGCAAGGGTAGTTGGTATTATCTCTATCTCTTGAGAGCATGTATTATCCCATACTTTGTATTTCTTCCAGTACCTAGCTCACATAGGTGATTAATAAGTGTTTTCTGTTGCTGACATTTCATAGATAAGGAAACTGAGACAGAGAACTTAAGCTGCTCATCAAAATGTCATACACTTAGTGATAGTACTAGGATTGGAATATATGTCTCCGAATGTTTAGTACAATACTCTTAACAATATACTAGAGTAATATCTGGAAAACCAACATAAAATAAAACACCTGCCACTGAGTAACAAGTTCTGTCAAGCTGTGTTTCCAAACTGTATTCTAGATCACCCTCAGGTTCCATATGTTTTGAAAAGTGGTTCAATGATAATTTCAATTATAAAGATTTTTTTCCCTAAGATTTCAGAAGATTTATGATTTCTTTGGTGTGTATATTCTCTTTAAAAAAATTTCCTTTACTGATGTAGAGTATAACCCTTCCTTACCTAAATAGGTAGCAGCCAACCTTCTGGTGCTGACTTTGTTTGCACTTAACTTTACTGGTCCTTGGACAACAGATATGCCATCTGGACCTTTCCAGTGTCATTGGAGGACTTGATAGAGCTTCAGCTTCATTGACATAGTCTTGAGAACCCAAGGTCACCTCCATGCTACAATTTTACTTCAGAGGAAGCATTTAGCAGAGGTCTCTTCTACCTAGCATCACACAAATGAATGATAGTGTTATCGTTTAAAAAAGAATTTGGTCTTGGCTTCTAACCTTGTGTTCTTCTAGATTGGCAATTTTCAGTCCTTTTGTGATATCTTGGCCCAATTTTGACAAATGTCTTTTTTGTCATTGCTTGTATAATTTTTTTTTTGTGGTCAGTTGGTAGCAAGAAAGTGGTGGTGGAGAGGGAGGGAAACTCAACTGACATTCATTCTTACTTTGATAGAAACCCTCTTAAGGGCTTTGGAGAAAAATGAAGCCCATTAATATTTGTGGTATTATTCTGACCAAACATTTTGAAATTGTATTATTAAATTACTATATAAAAGTTGATAGACTTTTGGTTTATGTATTGGTAGTCATTTAAGTATAAATAGTTAGATTTTTTAATAAGATATATAAAAATACAAATTAGATGCACATTAAATATATTGAAGAGGAAGAGAAGATGGACAGAGTTACCCTTTATAGATCTTTAATCATGAAATTTTTCTCAGCCTTATACATTATTAAGTAATTGAATGGGAAAGGTGACCAAATTATATATTTGCTTCATAACTTGTGAATGGTTTAGCTACATTGTAAATTAATCCCTGTCTTGTAGACATTCGTTGTTAGGCCCCAAATTTTTATTTATTTATTTGGATCCATACCTGTGATTTCATCCTTGTAAAGGATGCCTAATGAGGAAATGCTGTCCACCAATGAAATCAGCAATTGTCCTTCCAGCTTATAGTCTTAGAAAGTTTGCCCAGAGCACTGTAAGGTTGTAACTTGCCAAGTTTACACAGTGAATATGTCAAAAATCTGCACTTGAACCCAAGTCTTCCTAATCTAAGGCTTGCCCTTTACCCACTGTGGTGTGCTGCCACTCAAGCTGCATAGTGGGTTTGATAATTAGCCTGTTTTTAATATGACCTTGGATGAGTTGCTGCATGTCTCTGAACCTCATTTTCATTGTCTGGGAAATGCAGATGATACTTGCTCTATGACAGAGTCCTCTCCTCTAGAGTGTCCTGCCCTTTTTTATAGAAACAAAACTGGACCTTTGGAGCCAGGAGAACCTGGGGGTGAATTCTACCTCTGACACTTCCTGACTGGGTGACTGTGGGCAAGGAAACTTCTCTGAGTCTTAATTTTCTTACTTATAAAAGAAAAAATGGATTGTTACAGCTCTACTACTTATCTCTTAGGACTGTTTCGAGGAAGATACTTTTCAAACCTCCAAGTGCTATAAAAATGTGAGCAATGATGATAATGACATTTTGTACACTTGATTAATCTTCCATTGTTCAATTGTAATAATTCATTTTTAGGCTAATCAAAAAGAATTGTCATGTCTTATTGAGCAGAACTGGTGGTTTTAAAGTCTAAAAGGTCAGAAGCCTCTTTTATTTGTTAGAATTTTCTTAAGTTTCTCTCTCATGTCCTTCAGTATAAGAATGCTGGTGTAATTGAGTTGGAAGCTTGTGTCAAAGCAGTGAGAGTCCTTGCAATTCAGAAGAGGAGCATGGAAGCATCAGAATTTCTCCAGAATGCTGTTTATATCAACCTTCGCCAGGTAAGGATGTAATGATATCTGTGATCTTGCATTGTTAGTTAACTGTATACAAATAAAACGATTCCGAGGTTAAGTTAAGTTAAGGCTGATGTAGTACTGGAGTAGTATTGATACTCCATCCACGCTCCGAATGCTGATGCACTTATGGTTCATTGTTGCGTATCAGGATTTGATTTGGCTTAGTTAAAGCCAATGAAATTATAATATAAAAAATGAAGCCGTCAGTTGTTTGATGCAATTTAAAGTGTTTAATTCAGCATGACTTGACATTTACAGTATTTAAAAAAGAATTCATCATGACTGTTATTTTCTGTACTGTGGGTTGTTTCCTGATTTTTCTCTTTCTTACCCCAATTTTAATTCGTCCTTGTAACAAAGAAAAACATTTCAGCAAAATTGACCAATGAATTAATTGAATCTGACAGCATGTTTGACATCCTTTTCCTGTGGTTCCTTACCTCTCTTCCAAAAAGAGTGTGCTGTGTTTCATTATATGTTCGTTGACCAAGATTGATTATTGAAATGAATCTGAGTTTGTTCGCCTTTTAGTGTTGTTTACTTTTTCATTATTTTAATTATTGCATATATGGTTCTCTTTATTTTCTTATTTTAATCTTAATCGGCTTACATGAGACTTCCCATGTTTCTATGAATAAGGGTATTATAGAGCATCATACATTGTTCTTATACCATAATTTATTTAGCCTTTCTCCGATCATTTGATGCCTATTTTGTTTCCAGATTTTTTTATGCTAAAAAATCTTTATTGATATGTCTGTTTCATCTCTGTCTCTAACTATGTTGCCGTTGTTGTTGTTCAGCTGTTTTCAGTTGTGTCCAAATCTCTATGACCACATTCTGGGTTTTCTTGGCAAAAATACTGGAGTAGTTTCCCATTTCCTTCGCTAATTCATTTTCCATATGAGGAAACTGAGGCAAACAAGGTTAAGTGACTTGCCCAGAGCCATACAGCTAGTAAGTGTCTGAGGCTGGATTTGAACTCAGGAAGATAAGTCTTCCTGACTCCAGGCCTGGAACTCTATCTGCAGTACCACCTAGCTGCCCCATTTCTATAATTGTACATATGTGATACTTTTTTTCTCTTTTTGGCCTTCTTGCCTTATATGCTCAGTAGAGAAAGTGCCATAGGATAGGAATTCTTCAGTGATTTTTTTTTCTTGCTTAATTCCAAAATGTCTTCCAGCATGGTTAGAAATGATACAAAATACAAATACTGAACAATAATGTGTGGGTCTCTTAGGTTTCTAGTACTTAATTTCTAGAATTCAAAATTTGATGTCATCCTTTCAAAATATGGTTTGACTAATTGAATGAGAATATGGACTTGTTTAATGAAATTTTCTTTAATAGATTGATAATCATGTTAACTTCAGAATCAGAAAGCACTGAACTTGTTTATAGATTAAAAAATACAGAGAGCTTATCATAAGTAGAATGCATGTCTCCTTCCTGGTCTTAGCACTAGAGAGGGCCAAGAAAAATAAAGTCTATCAGATATTTTGACTCTGAAATAAAATATGATTATTTTTAAGATAGTGTTTTGATTTTGTTTCTGATACTGGAAAATTTAGGTGGCACACTGGAAAGATCTTGGGACTTTAGAAAACTTTGGCTCATCTTAGTTCCAACATTGAATTAAGATATCATCTAGTGGGAATAAAATTACAGTGTTATACATGGGTTTAAAAAATCAAGTTTTCAAATACAGGCTGAGGTAGACATGACTAGATTATGGTTAATGTGAAAAATACTGGAGGAGAGAGGTGGGGTTTAGGGACTGCAAAGGCAAGATAGGTCAACAATGTGAAGAATAGCAGCCAAAAAACCCCAATTTGATTTAATCTTAGCATTCACAGAAGCATAGTTAGTGTCCAGGATAAGGGAGGTGATAGACCCAGTGTTCTCTGCTCTAGTGAGAGCTCATGGAATATTACATTCGGTGTTGGGTATTGAGTTTTGGAAAGGACTTTGGTGAGCTAGGGCACATTGAGAAAAGGGCAGGATGATGAGGAAAGTAGAAACTAACCCTATAGAAGGATACACTATCCCACTGGAGGATTTGTGGAAGGAACTAGGAATGTTTAGTCTAGAGAAGGAATAACTTTGGAAGAACATGCTGAATCTATTAAAATATTTAGAAGATGATTAGATGTGCTTTGCTTGAACCTAGAGGGCAGAACCAGTAGCAATTTGTAGAAGTTGCAGGGGGAAGATTTTGAGTGGACAAGAGGAATCACTTCCTGACAATTAGTATTGTCCAAAATTAAGATTGGTATAACAACTTCTCGCATTTATATAGCTCTTTATTTAAGGTTTAGCCTACTAAGTTCCCATCACCCGAGGTCTTCAAAGAGAGCCTGGATTATTGGGGATGTTGTTGAATAGATTCCTGATCAGGTAGTGGTTGGACTGGATGACCTCTGAAGTCCCTTCTAATTCTGATCATCTATGAGTCTATAATTCATTCATCTTTTCAGCCCTCCATGGGGTGAAATTGAATTTACCAGTGACTTAGTCAACAATCACTTATTAAGTGATTACTATGTGCAAGGCATTGTGCAAGACCAGAGGATCAAAAGGAGAGCAAAAACAGCCCCTGCCATCAAGGAGCTTATTTTTTATTCAGGGAGACAACCTAAATAAATCAGAACACAAAAGATAAATACAGAGAAGATGGAAGGTAATCTTAGAGGGAAGAAACTAGTACCTGGAGTGACTAGGACTACCTCCTGGAGGAGATGGCATTTGAGCTGAATCTTGAGGGAAGTCAGGGATTCTAGTAGGCAAAAGTTGGGAAGGGAGAGCATTGTGTGAGTAATGGCCCATGTAAAGACACACAGACCAGATGGAGTGTCTTAAGTGAAGAACAGTTAGTAGACCAGTATGGTTGGATTGTAGAGTGTGTGGAGGGAAGGAGAACATAATAAAATTGGAAAGGTTGAAAGGGGCCAGATTGTGCAGAGCTTTAAACATCAAACAAAATACTTCATATTCAATCTTGGAGATAGTAGGGAGCCGTTGGACTTTGTTGTGTAGGGGCATGACATAGTCAGATCTATACTTTAAGAAAATCACTTTGGCAACTGTGTGTGGTATGAATTGGAATGGGGTGAGATGAGGCTGGAAGACTAATCAGAAGGTCTTTGCAACAGTCTAGATGAGAGGTAATGAGGGCCTGAACTAGAGTGGTTTTTTTGTGAGTGGAATGAAGGGGAATTATGTGAGAGATGTCGTAGAGAGGAGATTGTAATATTCGGCAACTGATTAGATACACAGGGTGAGTGACAGAGAGGAGTAGAGGATGGTGTTGAGGTTGTGACCTTGGGTAACTGGAAGGGAGCTAGTGACATCACAGCCCTACCTGGGTGAGTTCAGCAGAGGGGAGGTCATTCATGAAAGATATAATCGTGAAACTGAAGAGGTGATTGCTCTTAGTGAATATTTTAACTTATTTTGAACATTAGCCAAGCCATAATGTTCGGTCATGAGCTTTATTTTGAATATTGGTCAACTGTGCTTGATTGCTGTGTTCAGAGACGTACCATTTTTCATACTCTTCCTTTGTAGGACCTAGAGCATCTTCTTTTAGAGATAATATGTGGGAGATGTTCTAAGGTTTTCCAGGAATGAGATACACTAAAATTATTAGTATTTCTTTGGCAGACGAATGCCACCTGTCTGTGAAAACAGAAGCATGGAGGAGTAAAATACAGTGTTCACACATTCTTGATGAATCTAATACCACCTTTTCCTCGTGGATTCACCACTCACTCTATATAATTAAATGCCTTTTAACTTACGATGTTATTTTGTGGTAAATTCTGCCACTGGAAGGACCCATAGCTAGTCTTGTAGGCATGTGGTTTAATATTTGATCGCTGGTTTTCATGTGCTACATTAGAGAGGTACAAAACAAGGTATTTAAACAAAGTGCTTAAATAAAACAAAAAGGATAGAGGATGTTACCAAGGGCAAGGGGTTGGGAGATGGGCCCTGTTTCACCCTCTCAAAACCATTTTGTAGGTAAGGCAAGCATTTTACCGTGGTAGAGTTTTGAAACAGACTCATATTTGTTTGACTTCCTGTCTTTTTCTTTCTTTTCTTTTCAAAGGATCAAGCCTTTTGTATTACACTGGGCGTAAAAAACCAAACAGACCCCAAACCCAAATCCCCCAAACTGAAAAGGTAGGAAGGGCCAGGTTGTGAAGGGTTTTGAAAGAACAAAAGAGAATTTTGTATTTTTTCCTGTAAGTGATAGGGAGCCATTGGAGCTTACTGAGCAGATGGGAGTGACATGGTCAAACTTGCACTTTAGGAAGATCACTTTGGCAGCTGAATGGAGGATGGACTAGAGTGGGGGAGAGACTCAAGGCAGGCAGACCCACCAGGAGCCTATTTCAGTCATCCCAGTGTGAGGTGAGGAGGGCCTTCATTAGGGTGGTGGTAATGTCCAAAAAAAAAAAAGATGAAAATAAGAGAGATGTTGTGAAGCTAGAATTGACAAGACTAGGCAATAAAATGCAGAGAAGGTGCCAGTTTTAATGGGAGAGGGAGTTTCCTCATCAGGAAGTTCTTTAGGTCTGTGAAATTACAGGGCCAATCTCTAACTCTACCCCCCTACCCTCTGTCTTGGAAGACAGAGAAATATATAAATATAATTTAGAATATTTTCTATCTAGGCTAAATTAAAAGAAAAATCATTGGCAATTAAAAAGGTAAGCATTAATTACCTGGAAGGTTCATTTCTTAAAAATGCTGGAGACTGAGGAGATGCTGTTTCCTTTGAAAACCTTAGGGGCAGCTAGGTGGGCGTGGATAGAGCACCAGCCCTGAAGTCAGGAGGACCTGACTTCAAATGTGGCCTCAGACTAAACACTTGACACTTGCTAACTGTGTAACCCTGGGCAAGTCACTTAACCCCAATTGCCTTTAAAAAAAAAAAAAGAAAACTTTAAAATGCTTTATAAACTGTGCCAAAA